TTTATACGACATGTACGCTGCTTTTCAAGAATCATATTACTCGGGTGACAGATCTGAAAATTCGCCTTTGCTGTCAAAGGCCTTGTTCAAGTCAGAAGCACCCATTTTCCTATTTGACGTTAAATTAGCACAAGAGGCAGTGAAAACTACGACGTCAGATTTACGTTTGGAGATTGAATCTAGTATAAACATACCGGAATCAACATCAGCTTTTTGCCTGGTGCTCCACGACAAATTGTTTGAGTATAATCCGTTAAGCGGCCAAGTTAATAAACTCCTATAGATTTAACACCAATTGTACATACGTTTACCGTATACAGAGACCAGATATTAAATTTAAGTCAGCACCTTTTTTTTTGGTTTAGCAAAATATATCAACATAAGGTATGTGTAATAAAATTATCCAACACAATTGTTCGATGAATGGTTTTTTTTTTATTAATAATAAATATATACATTTTTTTTTTACAAATGGCATTTTTTTTTAAAAAATTTAATTTTCGCCTAGCCGACGGGTTTTTTCTATTTATTAGCCTGGGCTGAGCTGCTGTTTGTTGCGCCTCGTCCGATGAAACAGCTTGTTCAATTTGCTGCTCCAACTGCACAACTTCATCATCCAGGCCCCTGGCTTGGCTGGGGTCAAAATCTGGACTCGGAGGGCTGGGCGATATATTACCAGTAGCAGCAGCACCATCAGCGTCAGCAGCAGCAGCATCAGCAGTAGTAACGGCAAACGGGTCTTCTTGATCTGTATTTAAAATATATATTTAGATTCTCAGAACGTATAATTATATGTTTTTTTTTTGTTTACCAAATATCGCATCGATGGTTGCCTGCTCATCATTTGGTTGGATTGTTGATATGCTGGGAACATAATCCCATTCTTCGGCTGTAGTGCAAAAAAAATTAATTATACCCTATTTCAGTACTCTTTATCGGTTTATAACTCACCAAATACTTTTTCTAAAACGCCCTGATCTTCCAAGTAAATGGGCTGCCTCTCGGCCACATCATCATCATCCGAGTCATCGCAGAGGTCAATTATTCCCGAAGAAATATCCGACCCCACGCCTGACTCGGCAAACATGTCTGGTGAGTTTGTTGAAAAAGATAGCTCTATTGGCCGAGCATACTCTTCGTCATCGGTCTAAACATCAACCATAAAGTTCATCAAGCTGTTTATATTAAAATACGTTTGTACTTACGCTATAGTCGTCAAAGTAATTTCGGCGCCTCCTGTATCTGTGTGGCGTGTCGCTTTCGTCAGACATTGTTGAAACAAACTGTACGTCATTCGACCGTTTTCGCCAGTTATATAGCGCATTTTTTAGCCATCTGCTTGTGACAAAAAAATTAACCAAACAAAAGTGAAATTTTTACTATGCTATAACAATTTTTCTTTTAACGGACAAATGCAAAATTTCATGTTTATTGCGTTATCGGCGCCCCCGAATAATTATCAGGTTCACCGTCTTGAGACACGAGCCGGCTGATGTAATATTTCACCTGGTCGCAATTTTGTTCAGACCACTTTTTAATTAGGTTTAAATTAATTGTAACCCGCAACGGACATTGTTCACAGGCGTCGTGAATTTCATAGCAGTCGTAACATCTGCCGTCGTTGTCGGCCGCACCGTGACCAGGAGGCCCGAATCGTTTGCCACACTTTGTATTGTATTCCGGGCGGGTTTGTAAAAACCCGATTAGCGGGCAATCTATTTGATCAATACAGTAAACTTTAAATTCGTCCGGCAGTAATCGCCTGAGGAAATCGCGTTTTCGACAGTCCGTCGTGAATACGGTTACTTTACAAACTCCTATTGCAGGTGTCAAATTCCACCTGATTGACCGTTTTGCGTGCTCCAGACTACCGTATTTAAACGTCGTTGCGAAAGTCAGGTTTTCAAACAACGCTATTATTTGAAGGTTACAAAAATTTGGAGTGGTATTCCCGCAAAAAAAATCAACAACACTGTACTCTGTGAATATCATAATATTATTCAACGCCGCCGCCGTTATTATCGCCTCGAACGTTTTACCACTACTAACACGACTTTGCACTCACTTTTAACCATCTGCCTGTCAGGTGTACTCGCACGGCACGACGTACAGTAGCACCCTCGAGTGTTTAGCATACCGACAGCACCAGGTGGTTTTAAGCCACCGGCCGGAATGCGAAAATTATTCAAACTGCTTTACGGGTAACCGTAGCTCTCCTGACCGGTTGATTTATTTTACTGTTAAGCCAAAAATTCCGATGATCAACTTTTTTATTCTTTACCCCCAAAAACACTTGGGTGTGTTGTTCTGTATTTGCTAATAAGGACTAATTTCAAAATTGGTGGGAGAGAATTTTTCTCTGAAATCATCGGGGGCCCCGATTCAGAGATCAGTTTTTAGTTTCAGTATAGTAACAGCAACAATAATGGACTCAACCCAGAAACACCGTGCTGTGCAGTACTTGGCCGATGGTAAGTTGCAATTTTTTTTTTCAATGTTTTCAATTTTAATTTCGATTAAAATTTTTTTCAATTTTTTTCCCTTTAGGTTACAAAGGCCTTTATGCTGGTATTCGAATTGAATTAGAAATGATGGGAACAAACTTTCTTATAGTCGGGCAGTCGCCGCCGGGGGGTAAGTCATTTTTTTTTTATCTATTTTCTTATAATTAATATTTTTCTTCTACGCTATACAGAGGAGTTACCGGCGTTGGTTACCGCAGACTGGGGTACCGTAGACTCCACCCAGCCTGCTCAAGACGGCCGCCCGACTAGTGATCAGCCGCCGTCGCCAACATCGGCTTAACGCCCCCCACACACCGATGTCCATTTTTTTACAACTACCAGTATTCTTATAATTATTATTATTATTCTTATATTATTATTATTATTATAAGTAATGCTTTAATCATTTTTTTTATTTTCTTTATTCACCTTTTCTTAATTGCTCTAATCATTTTTTATATTTTCTTATGGGTTGTGTGTGTGTGTGTGTGTGTGTGTGGTGTGTGTGTGTGTTGCAAGTGTACAAGTGTACGCATTTGTGTGATGTATTTTTATAATGCTATTATATCAATCAAACGGATAAAGGTAACCAACACTTTTTTTTTTGTAAAAGGTATATATACTTCATTTATTGTGATACAGGTAAACAATTTTTTTTTTTACAAACTATTGCAATGGTTTTAGATAATTAACAGGCTAGTCGTATAACAGATATTCTAAAAAATATTTTATCAATCGAATAAAAAAACAAACACACCAATACACATCCGTCCAATGGTCTGACATATTGTTTTGAATTTTTTTTTCAAATACCGTGTTCCATTTCTACATCGCCCACTGTGTTGGCCACCGCGGCCAGTTGAGTTGTTGCAGCTGCCCTGTAAACACGTTATTTTTTAGTTTAATATATATTTCCAACATTCTTAATTTTACATACTTATCAATTTGTTCAATAAGTTTGCTCACATCAGTCAAATGATCCCGTATTTCCTTTTTCTCTTTGTTTCCCTCTTTGCTTTGGTCGGCTGCGTCGCCGTCGTCGTCACCGTCGTTGTCGTCACCACTTTTCCACATCCTGTAATACAATTAATTATTTAAAATACTTTCATCGAAACATCATCAGCAGCAGCAGCAGCAGCAGCCGAAAGAGAGAGTCATTACCCTTCATAATCCTCATCGACTACGTCGTCAAACAGTCGTTGAAAGTCCCAGCTATGGATTGGCGCGTCCCTTGCTTTTGCTTCTAAGCTTTGCGGTGTCGATTCTTCCGCGGATAAAGACCGTAAGTACTCGTCCCATATAAATGCTACTATTCGTTGGTGATCGTAAATCAAAAGCTCCTTGTACAACGGATGTTTTTTTCTCGGCATTAGGTTAATCGGCCAATTTATTATTATATTGTATACACCCTGGATGGGCGCGGTCAGATATCTTATAATAACCTCGGTTTTTATAACGTTTATTAACGATTTACATTGGTCAGTTAACATTTCACTAATTACCGATTTTTCCGTCACTGCCCGACGCATTATTTCACGTTGCCGTTTAATCGACGTCAAATTATCCTTAGTCAATGATATTCGATTCCCAGCGTATTCGATCACCATATACGAGTTTGAAAAACAACGCGTTTTTTTAATAGCCAGCCCCGGTATGGGGATTACCGCTCTCTTACCGTCGTTGCCAGTATCGTCAGTCATTATTTTAATGAGATTGTCCAAAGCGCCCAACAATCCCATAAACTTATCGTGCTCCATACACAAACACGCTGTAGCACATACTATAAGTATTGCTTGTTTGTACGCACTGTTCTTTTGTGACCATTCGCATCCGATGTGAATAAATTTTCTCTCGTTCAGGTTAACCGTAAACACAGCAGCCGATATCAGCTGAGTATCAACCGTGTTGATATGCCTTCTCGGCAAAATTCGTATTTCTTTTTTCCCGTAGCCACTCATAGTACACACACGCACGCGATATCACTTCACAACTAGATAACCGTTCCACAAGAACTCTTCACGACGTACTACTGGTGGACCCATTTAAAAGACCCCTTTTATGTATCTATACGTTGCATCCAACAGCCAATGATATTACAGCTTGTGTCCCGCGCAAATGCATTTCTCTATTTTGTTGTCAGCTGCTGCTGCTGCTGATATTTATCATTATTCAACTACACTAAAATGGCGCGCTTTTTTTATTCGCTATCATACCACCGAGGATACCTTCACAGTACAATTCTTATCACTAATAACAATCTGTTATACCACATGGATACCCACATTTTTTACCGCCAAATTTTTTCTTATCACTGATAACAATCTTATACCACTTGGATACCAACATTTTTTTTACCGCCAATTTTTTTCTTATCACTGATAACAATCCGTTATACCACATGGATACCCACATTTTTACCGCCAAATTTTTTCTTATCACTGATAACAAAATTGATAACAATTTTTTTTGATAAAGGAGGATCATCCTCGAGGATCACTGATAAGAGAGGATGATCCTCACCCAACTATATACTACTCACCGTCACCTAATATAATGATTTATTTAAATTTAAAAATAGTTAATAATAGTTAAATATGCCAACCCCTTTTTAAAAATAATTAATATTTAAAATGTATATTTACCGATTAGTTTATTATATTTCAATCCATGTAAATCAACACTTAATTTAAAACCTTCAGCAATTGCACCAGCTTCCATACTGGTAGCTCCTTTTTTCCAGTTCATAAAACATTCATGTTCTGGAATTGGGATGTGTTTATTTTTTGCTCTTTGACAAATACAACAGTATCGATTTCTTATACCAATAAATAAAATTAATTTCGATTTGTAACCAATTATTGTTGCCTGTAAATAAAATTTTAATTCTTATAATTAGACGCTTCTAATGCTCATTACTATAATACAATGTTTATTAATAACTATAATACTAAGAAGTTAGAACTGCTTACCACTCCTGATAATGCATCATAGTTAGTCTTATAACTACTTTTACTCCATTGACCATCTGCCACTACCGTACACATTGGTGTTCCATCTTTATCAAAGGATCCATTTTCTATAGCTATTCGTTTTCCTTCTATTCCAGCTAATGACATTTGGTGTTCGGCTATTTTATGAATTTTTTCACTCATATCCATTTGAGTTTCCGTGAATTTCATAGAAGACATAATCGGTATATCCATAGTAGAACAATTCTCTGAAATTTGGGAGTATCCAATACCAACATATATTGTTCCACTCACAGCGGCCTCATTAATTGGTAAATATGTTTCGGGATTTGTCTTTTCAGACTCAATTTTTGTACATTTATTTCACAAATAAATGTAAATACAGAACGAAGTCCATATTGTTTTTCATCTGCTAATCGCATATCGATAAACAAACAACCATATCCTCCTTCATGAACACAACTTTTAATTTGGTCGAATATACAACCAATATCTACGATTCGTCGACCTGGACATTTGTATGCTTGATTCGATCTAAAGCCAAAGTAAATGTAATTGAACAAAGGAAGTGTACTCTTAAAATAATCGTAATTTTGTAGTGTTTCTTTTGGAAAACATTTTTATTCATGTTATATTATAATATTCAAATATTAATCTTTTTTGGTATTACCTAAAGCTATTTGCTATAT